TTTTTTTTACCCTCCCCCCAGAATAGTAACATTCTTTTTTTTTCAAGTTTATTAGTTTATTTAAGAAAGTTCTGCAGCCCACATGGAGCTGCGCCTCACGACCCCGAACCCAAGATTCACACACTGCTCGGACTGAGCCAACGGTGTTCAGTCTGCCTGCATGGTGACGCGCTGTCCATCATGACCCTCCGTGTACTTTTTTATTTGCACTTTCATTTTCCTGTGTGGTTGGTAGCAATGCCACTGGGGTTTTTAGAACCAAATTTCCTGAACTGAGGCTCATGACCCTTTAAAATTTGGATTTTTCTAGAAAGAAGGTTCATAGTTTTCATCAGATTTTCCTTTGAAACTGGCCTTATCCAAAAAGCTAAAAACAAGGGGTAAGGGGAGAAATGCTCTAACTTAAGATATCATTTGGTGACATTAATCCAAGCAAAGATCTTGGGACTTACTGGTGTGGTCTAATGTTGCTTTTTTTTTTTAAGTTTGTTTATTTTGAGAGCACATGAATCGGGGAGGGGCAGAGAGAGGAAAAGCAAGAGAATCCCAAGCAGGCTCCACACTGTCAGCGCAGAGTCTCACATGGGGCTCCATCTCGCAAACTGTGAGGCTGAGACCTGAGCCCAAACCAAGAGTCAGATGCTTAACTGGGTCACCCAGGTGCCCCTTAGTGTTGATTACGTTAAAGGGAAACACGTTATTGGCGAGGGGGGGGTGCGGAAAAGTGATGTGTTTGAAGACAATGGCCCACAATAGGTTTTCAGACATACAAATAACACATATGCTGGGACTGTTCTGAGGCCCTTACACTTGGCAGAACTCAAGCCTGTGGCTACAGGTATACGTGCTGTCAGGGCTAGGTAATTTGGAAACAGACTACATGCAACTGGTTAAACACAAATTGGTATAACACTGCAGGGTGTGAAAGGGGTTCTCCTGTTTATTTTTTTAATTTTTAAAAAAATGTTCATTTTTTACTGAAAGAGTGAACAGTGGAGGGGCAGAAAGAGAGAGAAGAAAATACAGAATCTGAAGCAGGCTCCAGGCTCTGAGCTGTCAGCACAGAGTCTGAGGCAGGGCTTGAACTCGTGAAGCATGAGATCATGACCTGAGCCAGTTGGCCACTTAACCAACTGAGCCACTCAGGCGCCGCAAGGGATTCTCTGTTTCTTAAAAAGAAATTCTGGTTCTAGAAATTACTGCTGTATCTTAAACTACCGCCTACAGTTAAACAGCATGGGATTCCATATCACTGTGTTTTCGGGGGGGGTTGTGTGTGGCGGTGGTGGTGGTGGTGGTAAAATCTGCATAGCATAACATTTGCTATTTTAGCCATCCTATACTCTTGAAATGGGAACTAAGCCACCTGGTCAGAGATCAGCAAGGCTAATTCTTGGGGGAGTGGAGGTGGGGTAGGTGCTTTAAAGCTGCTTCCAGACCAGTCTGGGTCTGACCTCGCTTGAAAACCGGGCTTTGAAATACTATTCAGTGAGCTGCTTGAAGGGCTTGGCTCTGAACCAATACTGCACAAAGGACCATAGTAGTGTCCTGAGGAACAGGATGCAAGTGCCGTCCCTTCTGAGTGTTTTCCTCATTTTGAAATCTGAGGATGTCTGCCTGCTGCTTTCTCTCTGTTTCCATGAGGTCCTGATGCCAGAGCAAAGTGAAAAACAAGTGACCCCCTCCAGTTTCAAGACTGTACCTATTGCTGGGGAACCAAACAGGAGAGAGAGGTCTCAAATTCATTCTATCACCCACTCAACTTCCTGCTGCCAATCCAACCTCCCACCTGCCACCCCCAGCATGGTCATTCTTTCTTTATCCCATCCTGGTTCCTGACCAAATAAGTAGCCCAGGATGCTGATACTGGAATCTTTAGGCTGGAGGTCTGATAGGCCTGAGCTCAAATCTTGGTCCTGTCATTTATGAGCCAGCCACCTAGTTACTGCTCTGAGCCAAAAGTCCTTTTTTGGGGGTTTGTGACAGGACTGTGAACCTCCAGGGTAACCTGCTGGAAAAGCTTTGCCCTGGCTCCAGCACACCATTACAATGGCTGGATGACTGACTATCCGGACTGTCATCCAATGCCAGATGTAGATGGGGACCACTGGGCAAGTATCAAACCCTCTGGGAACCATATGCTATTCTGGACATGATGGAGGAAGAAGCATAACTATGCTCAGACCTTCAGGTCAGGACAGGCTTTCTGAAAGGGGTGGGTGCTAAAGTAAGCCCAGCTTGACCTCAGAAAGAGATGGTTTTCCAGGGAGAGCCTGACAGTTCCAGCACAGGGCACATTGCCCTATCACATTGCCACAGGCCAGACAGGCTTTAGAATCCAAGAGTGGGACTCCCAGGGAAGCCGCCGGGAAGTTGTACCTGGAAGGCAAGGGTGGTTTGCAATTACACAACCTTCCCCCATCCCCACATCCCTATTCCTTTGTATCTCTAGAGATTGTATTAATAGCAAAAGGGAGGGGGGTCACATGTTTTTTCCTCTGGTTTCCTTTGTACACTTACCAGGCCACTTCCAGCAGCAGGTGCCAAGATTTTTTTTTTTAACTTATGAGAGAATAGGTGAAATTGGGAGATTCTATACATTAGCTTTGAGTATAGGGAGAACTGGGAAACACATCAGCATGGTATTTCAAGGGCAGAACACCTGAGTCCAGGAAAGATACTCGTGACTCAGTCTACAAGAGATTCCTTGAAAAGCACACCAAAAGTTTACAAAAGTTGTAAATTACTACTTTGATTGAAAAAATGTAGAGCAACATTAATAAAATATGTATTACAGCAAACGTGTTTGTATAAGATCTGTATAATTAGTGTTTTCTTTCATTCCCCAAGAATTATGTGATTAAAATGACATTTAAGCAAACTGAAATATGAATTTACATTAGAGTGAATATTCCGGGGCACCTGGGTGGCTCAGTTGGTTAAGATTCCGACTTCGGCTCAGGTCATGATCTCACGTTTGTGGGTTCGAGCCCCGCGTCAGGCTCTGCGCTGATAGCTCAGAGCCTGGAGCCTGCTTTGGATTCTGTATGTCCCTGTCTTTCTGCCCCTACCCCCCTCATGCTCTGTCTCTCTCTGTCTCAAAAATAAATAAAATGTTAAAAAAAAAAGTGATATTCCTCTTATGTACCTGATGTCATTCATGTTACTCCTCCCCCATCTCTGTTTGACTAAATTTTTTTTTTTAAAAAATAGTTTATTTACTTTTGAGACAGAGAGAGACAGAGCATGAGTGGGGGAGGGGCAGAGAGAGAGAGAGACAGAATCCGAAACAGGTTCCAGGCTCTGAGCTGTCAGCACAGAGCCCGATGCGGGGCTCAAACCCACGAGCCGTGAGATCTGACCTGAGCCGAAGTCGGATGCTTAACCAACTGAGCCACCCAGGGGCCCTGACTAAATGTTAAAGAGCAGTTTCAGAGGCAGCCCCCTGCTCCTCAGATCTCTTGTGACTCACCTGCCTCCCACCACAAGTAACTTTTTTCTCTATGTATCTTTCTACAGCATTTTCTTTGACTTTCTCTCCTTTCTCTTACCACTTGCCACTTTTTGTCTTTTATTATGGAAAATAAGTCCAGATTTTGCAGCAGCTGCTTTTGGTGATCTTGTGGGGACAGATTTATGACTGAATCACCTTTTTAACCCCGGACTTTCCACATAAGTGTTTATAATGGTTTCTTGAATGAAAATGTTGTGGACCATCCACCCTGCAAAACATCACTGTGTGCCTTATTTTTCTCCTTCCTTCTTTCTTCACCTGTTGACTTCTGTTCTGCTGTGTGTAGATAGAAGATACCAAATGTTGGGTATTCAGCTTGATGCTGGGCTAGCACATGGTAAGGTCCATTAGGTATTTGATGCTTTTAAAGGCCTGCCGGTTGGATAGATGGAATAAAAAGGCCTATACGGAGTTCCAGGCCCATTTCCCACACCCAGCTGCTGCATGCCCCCAGACTCCTCATCAGGATGTTTGTTCTGTATGTCCAACGAACTGTGTAGGAAAACCTTTTGAAACAGTGTGCCTATGCTATATAACCTACTATTATTTTACCCAATACATTTCTTCCAGAACACAACAAATTAATTATGTAAAAATCATCTATTTATAAATCAAAAGAATACAGGTTACATACTATCTGGTAATATCTTATGTTTTTTGTGTGAGACAGAGCATACGTGAGCAGGGGAGGGGCTGAGAGAGAGACGGGGACAGAGGATCCTAAGTGGGCTCTGCTCTGACAGCAGAGAGCCAGATGTGGGGCTGGAACTTATGAACTGGGAGATCATGACCTGTGAAGTCCCAGGCTTATCCGACTGAGCCAACCACGGCGCCCTGGAATTCATCTTTTGTAAACACAGTCTAAATGATTAGCTAAACACATCACAGAGACAAGTCATGCCCTACTTATTTCCTTTGTTGTACAATCTTCTATTTTCTCTGAAGCTGAAAACAGCATGGTTTTTAATTTGCTTACTTTTCTCTGTATCATCCAAATGTTCCAACAGATGTATTAAAGGTCTCTCAGCATCACTTTCCACGTGCTCAGAAGTATCAGAATAATTCACTACAAATCAATCACATTTTTTAAAATACCTAAGCGTTCAAAGAAATTCCACTGTATGTTTTCGGCGTCTCACTAACCCAGCTTTCCATCAAGGGGAGTTCCTAGGGTCAATTAGCGCGTTCCTGCATTTCAGCTAATCCTTTCCCCGGCTCCGGGAAGCAGGCCTTCCGACAGGGGAGGAAGCTGAGGTTCATAAAGGCCAAGTGAGCAGTCCGAGAACACGCGGCAAAGGGACCCCCATAAAGACCCGGGACTCCGCCGCCCTCGTCAGCCACAACAGCCTCCTTCCCCGACCCGCCCACCCCACCCTCTACGACCACGCCCACCCCACCCTCTACGACCACGCCCACCCCACCCTCTACGACCACGCCCCTTCCGTGACCAGGACCCGCGCTTCCGCTCTTCCGCGCTTCCGCTTCCGGCGGTGTGAGCTGGACCCGCGGAGTTGTGTGGCGTTCCGTAGCGATGGCGGCCGGCGGTAGCGACCCGCGGGCCGGCGACGTAGAGGAGGATGCCTCACAGCTTATCTTTCCCAAAGGTGGGGCTGGGGTTGCGCGACGGCCCCCGGTGTCCCGCGTGGTCGCCTCAGGCCTGGCGTGGCCGGGCTGTGGCGGGCGGCGGGGCGGGCCCGGGGCGTAGAGAGGGGCCGGGAGGATGGGGGATGCGGCCGTGGGAGGGGCCTGGGCCCGCACCGCCACTGTTCTTCGAGAGCGGCCAGTCGGATTCCACGCCTGCTGCCTTGGAACCGTCGGCGCCCAGCCCCCCGCTGTCCCTGAGCAACTTCTTGCTGCTCATTTAAGTAATTTCTCTTACCCGGTAAATTGCGAGGTGCTGCAGGGATGTGGCGAGGCTGAGCAAAACCGACCCTAAAGTGGCAAGGACGTCATCGTTAATCATTAATACATTCGTGGGCGCTTGGCTGCCTCAGTCGGTAGAGCATGCGACTCTTGATCTCTGGGTCATGAGTTCAAGCCCCACATTGGGCATGGAGCCTATTAAAAAGAAAAATAGGGGGTAATGTAAGGTTGCAATAGGAAAAAGAGGCTCGCTTGGACTGAACTCAACTTCGATTTGCACAGAGGTGACTGGGTCTTTTAAAGGGAGAATGAAGAAATGGGGAGGAGGTTGGCGGGGTCTCCGTAGGGTCAGGGGAGTGGAAAATTACAAAAAGCAGGATGGGGGGGGGGTTGGTCGATTTGAAATCCATTTGGGTTTGTTAACTGGCGCTTACGGGAGTGAGACTCCTGTCTCCCACAGCTCTTCTTGTGAACTGACCGAGGCCCTGTCTTCGGGTGTTGGCTGGGAGAAACCGTATATTTCTTGGGCAGACTTCGGTTTTCAGAGGTTTTAAAGGGGCCTAGAGTCACCTAGGAATGTGGCCTTGAGGCGTTAGAAATTATGTTAGTGTTTTGTTAGAGTCTTTCTGGGCCAAGGTTGAGGCCCAAAAGGAGGGCTCAGAGGAGCCTGGCCAGAGTTTGGTCAAGGAGAGCCTTTGTCAGAGGACTGCCAGTACAGCACATTTCGCTGTCAGGGAACTTTTCTTGTGCAGCGTGATGTACTTTATTTGTAATTTAGAAACTAAAAATAAGCAAGAAGCTTATGGTTTTAAAATAACCATATTTTACTCGTACCGGAAAATGCAAATGCAAACTGAAAGGCGGAAGTCTTCACAGTATCCACCTTAACAATAACCTTAAAATTATCCAGTAATTTAAAAATTATTATGTCCAGAATAAAAACTGAAACTCTACACCCTTGTCACTCAGAGGAAACTACTGTAAACAATTTCCAATCTAATTTCATGCTTACTTATTAATATGTACATACACTGTTTTCTTTGTAAAAATGAGATTATATGAAAGAAATGCTGCAGCCTTTAAAAATTTTGACGATATCGGGGCGCCTGGGTGGCTTAGTCGGTTAAGCGTCCGACTTTCGCTTAGGTCATGATCTCGCGGTTCGTGGGTTCGAGCCCGGCATCGGGCTCTGTGCTGACTGCCAGCTCGGAGCCTGGAGCCTGTTTCAGTCTGTGACACCCTCTCTCTCTGGCCCTCCCCTGCTCACGCTGTCTCTCTCTCTCTCCTAGAAATAAATAAAACGTTAAAAAAAAATTTTTTTTTTAAATAAAAAAAAAATGAAAAATTTTTTTTTGACGATATCAGGGTGGCCAGGTCATGATCTCATGGTTCTTGAGTTTGAGCCCCGCATCATGCTCTGTGCTGACAGTTCAGCGAGCCTGCTTCGGATACTGTCTCCTCTTTCTGCCCCTCCCCTGCTCGCACTGTGTTTCTCTTAAAAATGAATAAGCATTAAAAAAAGAAATTTTTGACAATATATTATGTAGAACTATCTTTTTTTTTTAAACTCAAGGCCCAACCGGGGAGGGGGTGGGGCTTGAACTCATGACCCAGAGGTCAAGAGTTGTGTGCTCTGCTGACTGAACCAGCCAGGCACTCCTGTCTTGGTCTTTTAAAGGGCTAGATATACTTAGTGGTTTACCATAATACTATTTATCTGTTGGTAGGATATAGGTGGCTTCCAGTTTTTTATTTTATAGGCTCAAGGTCAAATATTTCCATAGGATAGCTTCATGGACGTTTCTGGCGTATAGAAGTTTATGTGTTTTTTTAAGTGTAATAACTGAGACAGAGATGGCTTTCTTAATGTATGATAAATTAAACCAACTTATTGTGCATAGGTTTTATCTAGGTACTTTTTATTTATGCTTTGATAAACGCAGGTAGCATCTGGTACACATGAAAATTTTATTGAGTTCAGAATAATTAGATCTTAGATTCTGTCAAATAACAGTGTGTCAGGGTTCTGAATACCTGTTATCTTTGACCTCTCAGCTCGTGGGGATGCGCAGTGTTTATTACATAGTTTAGAACATGTGAAGATGGGGCATCTGGGTTGCTCAGCCAGTAGAGCATGCGACTCTGGGGGTTGAGGGTCATGAGTTAAGGCCCTATGGTGGGGGTAGACTTTACTTTAAAAAAAATGTGAAGAGGGGGCGCTTGGGTGGCTCAGTCGGTGGAGCGCCCAACTTCAGCTCAGGTCATGATCTCGCGGTTCATGGGTTTGAGTCCCGCGTTGGGCTGTGTGCTGACAGCTAGCTCAGAGCCTGGAGCCTGCTTTAGATTCTGTGTCTCCCTCTCTCTCTGACCTTCCCTTGCTCATGCTGCCTCTCTCTCTCTCAGAAATAAATAAAACATTAAAAAGAATTTAAAAAGGGGCACCTGGATAACTCGGTTGGTTAAGCATCCGACTTCGGCTCAGGTCACGATCTCGCGGTTCGTGGGTTCGAGACCCGCATCGGGCTCTGTGCTGACAGCCAGCTCAGAGCCTGGAGCCTGTTTCAGATTCTGTGTCTCCCTCTCTCTGACCCTTCCCTGCTCGTTCTGGTGCTCGCTCGCTCTCTCTCTCTTTCTCTCTCAGAAATTAAAAAAAAACAAACAAAAAAACATTTAAAAAAAAAGTGAAGATCTATAGAAACAACAGTAAGTATTTAAAAGATAAAGCCTTTGCTATAGATAGAAAGCAAACAAATGTGTGCTAATTCATTGTAGGACACAAAGAATGGATGAGGTCACTGAAAGTATCTGAATCTGTAGAGGTAGTTTTCACAGCATGTTTGCTGGAAAATAAAATTTGTCCTTTATCCGTGTGATATAATTAACAGCAATTCTACTGAAAAAATTAGTCAGTAAGACATTTTTTCCGAAAAGTCCCTCCCTCCCTCCCTCAATTAAAGACATACCCTAACATTTTGTACTAGAGAGAAAAATGTGTGTAGTATAAGAGCACCATCTGAAATTGCTACCTTTATCATAATGGTTGTAATGAAGGGTCCTCAAAATTCCCAGTTGAGGGGCGCCTTGGTGGCTCAGTCAGTTAAGTGTCCAACTTCAGCTCAGGTCATGATCTCATGATTTGTGAGTTGGAGCCCCACATCGAACTCTGTGCTGACAGCTCAGAGCCTGGAACCTGTGTGGGATTCAGTGTCTCCCTCTCTGTGGCCCTCCCCTGTGTGTTCTCTCTCTCTCAAAAATAAACACACATTAAAAAAATTTTTTTTTAATTAAAAGGAAAATTTCCAGTTGAGATACAAGGAATTGATAAATAATTTGGATTAATAAATGTGGCTGTGGTTCTTAAAATATCAGTGCAGAGAAAGAATAATATGCATAGTTTGGGTGCTCTGACCTTTCATTGTTTGAAAGGAGTGAAAGTGATGTATAAATAGTATTTGGACATCATCCTCAGTAAAGAATAGGAACAGGTGACTGGTCTCCTGCTGTCCCGTAAATTCTGTTCTGTTACATTTAACAGGTAAATTTTGTTTGGTACAGAAAGGGAGGCATATCTCACATGGCCAATTTTCCAGGAGTCTTAAAAGCAGTAATTGCTAGGGGCGCCTGGGTGGCTCAGTCAGTTAAGTGTCCAACTTCGGCTCAAGTCATGATCTCACCCAGTGTGGGGCTCAAACTCGACAAACCTTGAGATTATGACCTGAGCCAAAATTAAGAGTTGGGTGTTTAACCGATTGAACCATCCACGTGCCCCAGAGGACTTTTTAATGTTTATTTTTTATTTTTGAGAGCAAGAGGGCACAAGTGGGGGAAGGCAGAGAGAGAGGGACCAGAGGATCAGAAGTGGCCTCTGAGCTGACAGGCTGACACCAGTGAGCCCCATGCAGGGCTCAAATTTATGAACCTGTGAGAGGCGGGGGATGGGTTAAATGGGTGATGGGTATTAAGTAGGGCATTTGTGATGAGTACTGGGTGTTGTGTATGAGTGATGAATCCCTAAATTATATGCTTGAAACTAATATTACACTGTATGTTAATTCACTAGAATTTAAATAAAAACTTGAAACTAAAAAAATAAATGAGTATTAAGGGCAGGAGATTTGTGTGATGGTAAATATTTGAAGTAGGCTTAGTTGGTAAACTACATAAGACTGTGAAATCTGGGAAGTAGGGACTTCCAGCCTCAGGCCCAATGCCTAGTATGTAATTTGGTGAATGAGTAGATAGTGGATTTGTATAGGTACAAAAATAGAATTGGGGGTGCATTATTAATGTTTTGTTGCTAAACATTTGGCCCTCCCTGGGGCGCCTGGGTGGCTCAGTCACTTAAGCCTCCGACTTCAGCTCGGATCATGATCTCACGGTTCATGGGTTCAAGCCCCGTGTCGGGCTCTGTGCTGACAGCTAGCTCAGAGCCTGGAGCCTGTTTCAGGTTCTGTGTCTCCCTCTCTTTCTGACCCTCCCCTGGTCATGCTGTATCTCTCTTTCTCTCTCTCTCTCAGAAATAAGTAAAACATTAAAAAAAAAATTCAAACACTTGGCCCTCCCTAATGTGTAATAGTTATTAAAATTGAGAATGTGATGTTAGTATTCTGGAATATATTGTATGGAATAATATATTACGAGCTCATGCAAGCTAAAGAGAAATAATTGTTGGTTACGATCCATTTTGAAATCAGTAAGTAGCCTAATTAGGATAATGACGTGTCATTATTTAATAGCATGTGCAGGTCAGGTTCTTTGATGTTAGAAACTGTAACCCCACTGAGCTAAACTTTAGTCTCATGAACTCTACTGTGCCTTGTGGTAGGCAGGCCTGGATGAAGGTAAAGCTGTGTGATATGAGGCCTGTGCATTTATGCAGGGACAGAAACTTGCTCTGAATCTTGAAGGCAAAATGAACATTTAGAAGCTGTCTTTTGAAGGAATATTTTCAGCTGACATTTGTGCTTCTCACAAATAGAGTTTGAAACAGCTGAGACACTACTCAATTCAGAAGTTCATATGCTTCTGGAGCATCGAAAGCAACAGAATGAGAGTGCGGAGGATGAGCAGGAACTTTCTGAGGTCTTCATGAAAACTTTAAATTACACAGCCCGCTTCAGTCGTTTCAAAAACAGAGAGACCATTGCCAGTGTGCGTAGGTGAGTGCTGAAAGAAAGTTTTTATTAATCCAAACCAGTGGACATCTTGTAAATGCTTTTCCTCACCAGCCCCACCATCATCCCATGGATGTCATCTATACCATGAATGTTAGAAACATCATGTCTTTGTCAGAAATTTGAAAATAACTTAGAAGACTAAAATGCTCTTTGATCACCGTTTCCCGTACCTGAAATCCTAGTGAATTTCCTGCACAGTAACCACCGTTAGCAGTTGGTTGTCAGTCTTCCAGATCTTTCCCATGCATTCGCACATATATATACACCTATAAAAAACACACAGAAGTGATTGGGGGGGGGCGGTTAATAGAATGGGCTTATTTATTTTTCACCTGGAGTGTCTTCATTCAGGATCTTTTATTTTTAATTTAATTTTTATTTTTATTAAAATTTTTTTATGTTTGTTTATTTTTGAGAGAGAGAGAGACAAGAGTGTGAGCAGGGGAGGGGCAGAGAGAGAGGGAGACACAGAATCCAAAACAGGCTCCAGGCTCTGAGTTGTCAGCACAGAGCCCTACGCAGGGCTCGAACTCGCAAACAGTGAGATCATGACCTGAGCCGAAACCAAGAGTTGACCGCTTAACTGAGCCACCCAGGTGCCCTTGAACACTGTATCTTACACCAAACTTAATTCCTAAGGAATTAAGGATTTTAATATAAACCATGGTGAATAAAAGTGTTATGTGACAGTATGAGTGAATATATGTATTATTTTGGCTGTGGTTAATAGGAATTTAAATATGGTGAAACTTGATTCACTTTAGTTGAATATAATAAGATTTGTGAGGGCAGGAACTTGGTCATACTCAGTGACAGCCTCATCGTAGGCACTAAATAAATATTTTTTTTTTAATGTTTTTTATTTATTTCTAGGAGAGAGAGATAGCGTGAGCAGGGGAGGGTCAGAGAGAGAGGGAGACACAGAATCTGAATCAGGCTCCAGGCTCTGAGCTGGCAGTCAGCACAGAGCCCGACGCGGTGCTCGAACCCACGAACCGCGAGACCATGACCTATGCGAAAGTCGGACGCTTAACCAACTAAGCCACCCAGGCGCCCCTGTAGGCACTAAATAAATATTGAATGAATAAATGAATTTACGTAAATATCTTTAAACTCTCCTACATCAAATATAATGCCGTATGCAAAATATAAGTAATAAATAAACTAGGAAAGAATTGATATTCTTAATATTGAAAACTCCAACAAATAATTAAGAAAGACATGACATCAGTTTTTAAAAATGGATACAGTCTCCAGTTAGAGGCTTAATTTGAATCAGTACTTCAAATGGCTAGCTAATTCACATGAAATAATGCTCATCTTCAAGGAAATAAAAAAAATGGTAAAAGAACTACGTAGATTTGAAAAGATTAAAAAGAGGGTTTCCTGGGTGGCTCCTTTGGTTAAGTGTCCGACTCTTGATTTCAGCTGAGGTCATGATCTCGCAGTTCTTGAGTTCAAGCCCTGTACTGATCTTTCTGCTGTCAGCACAGAGCCCACTTCTGTGGATCCTCTGTTCCCTTTTCTCTCTGCCCCTCCCCTGCTTGTTCTCTCTCTTGTGCTCTCTTTTTCAAAATAAATAAATAAACTTAAGAAAAATAAAAAAGACATTCATATTCTCTGGATAATTCGACTTCCAGGAATTTATCTTTAAAACACACGGTAATTGGGGTGCTTGGTTTGGCTTTGATCTCAAGGTTGTAACTTAGAGCCCCACATGGCATAGAGACAACTTAAAAATTAAATCTTTTAAAAACAATATATAGTACTCAAAACTAAATCACACGGTAACCAATCAAATACACAAAGAAGTCCATATGATGTTCAAAAAGCATTACTTAAAATGAATCATTGAAACATTCAACAGCAGGAGATTTGATACATAAATTACGGCACAGCCTTTTAGCGGAATGCCATGTTCAGGGTGGAGTTATGTGTGTACTAAAAGAAAACAGCTACTGTGTTGTTGAATGAAAAAAGGCCAGTCACAGAATGACATTTGTTATGATTCCTTTATTTTAAAAATTATAGAGGAGGGGAAGCTGATTTCCATGAAAACACTAGTTATTTCTGGGTAGGATTTCAGGTTATCTTCACTTTTTTGATATTTTTGTATTGTTTATAAATAAGCATATATTCATTTTAAAACAGACCCCTCCATGCACATACCTACTCTGTACTTCTTTATAAACCTCTTCCCATGTAACTAAGTTTACAGTGTTTTCTTTAGGAAATGAATATAGCTCTTTAAGAGACAAAAAATGATGAAAGAGAATGTATGAGTGTATATTCTAAAACAGAAAAGTGTTTGGAATGGTACACTAAGATAATAATGATTTTGTTTAGGCGGTGATGTGGGGAGCTTTTATTTTTCTGTCCTGTGTTTTCTAAATTTTGTGTGATAACTAATAATGCTTCTAATAGAATGATAAGCACAGTAAGTTTTGTCTCTGAACAGACGTTTAAGGTGTGTTCTGAAACCCTAGTCCACCGTGGATGAGCTCTCTTTTAAGAGCTAGATGTGTGAAAACCCAAGATAGGATTTGACAGTGTTTTATACAGTTTGAACTAGAACTGTGCATTTTAAAATAAGATGCTGTTTGCACACACATTTGTACAAAGTAAGGTCTGCCCATATTTATTTTGTAGGTAAAGTTAAGAGAATTTCCTCCAAGTCCGAATACCCAAACAAGGGGGCAGAGAACAACAAAATAAATTCCTAGGGGGAAGGTTGTGTAGTCCTTAAGGCATAGGTGGTGGGTTTTCAGATGTTACCACAGCAGGGCTTCTCTTCTGTGTGCTCTGCTCTTGTGTGGTCTCTGTCTGGTTTCACTGTAACTTCCTGTTCTCTAGGAACAGAACAGGAAATTATTTGAAAGCGGGATTTTGCAGCCAAACTAACCATATGGAAAGATTGCAAGTGCTTTGCTTTTTTTTTCCTTCTTGCTAAGTATCTTGGGTTCTCTTTTTCCTAATCACCATTCTTTGATTTTTGTTTGTTTTGGTTCTCTACTCCACGATCAGCTTGTTGCTCCAGAAGAAGCTTCATAAGTTTGAGTTGGCCTGTTTGGCCAATCTTTGCCCAGAGACTGCCGAGGAGTCGAAGGCTCTGATCCCAAGGTTAGTACCAGCCGTGCTAAGTTCTGAGTGTAGGATAGATCCTACAGGTAGGATTAGTGTGTCTAAACAGTGTGCATTTAAAATCTGGACAGATATCACCAACATTCATTGGAGTGCCTTTCTTAACAGAGTGTGAAAGTGTTGGTTTCATAGCCCCCCAACTGTTAGCAAAAATGTGGAACAGCTGAATCTTTCATCCAATGATGGTAGGAGTGCACGTTAGTACAGTCCCTTTGGAGAACAAATGACCTGCATCTAGTAGAGTTAAAGATGATTATCCACTGTGACCTCCAGATCCACTCCTGGGTACATGCCCTAAAAGCAGCTCATACAGTTCATAAGGAGGCATGTATTCTAATGCTTATTACTGCAGTGTTAGTGGTCATAGAACTTGACAGTCAACAAGAGTGTGAATAAATAAATCATTTATATAGTTGTTCCATGGAACAACATGGAATAATATCAACAAATACCAAAATGAGTTTGGAGTGAAAAAAATTGTAGAAGGATACATATAGAATGATGCCATTTCTTATAAAGTATAAAAACAGTGATGCAGGGGCGCCTGGGTGGCTTAGTCGGTTAAGCGTCCGACTTTCGCTTAGGTCATGATCTCGCGGTTTGTGGGTTCGTGCCCCGCGTCGGGCTCTGTGCTGACTGCCAGCTCGGAGTCTGGACCCTGCTTCAGATTCTGTGTCTCCCTCTCTCTCTGACCCTCCCCTGCTCGCGCTGTCTCTCTCTCTCCTAGAAATAAATAAAACATTAAAAAAAAAAAAAATTAAAAAAAACAAAACAGTGATGCGTATGGCTTAGATATATATAGAGTAGGTATAAAATATGTATAGAAATGATAAATACCAAATTTAGCATAATGGTTAATTCTGGGGAAGGTATTGCAATAGGAGAGCATACACAGAGCCATTCATTAATTTGTTCTGTGTTTATCAAAGAAATCTAAATCAAATAGGGGTAACTCTTAAGGTTAACTTCTTTTCTATACTTTTTTAAATCTTTGAAACCCTTCATTATGTTTTTTTTTTTTAATTTTTTAACGTTTTTATTTATTTCTGAGAGAGAGAGAGAGAGACACAGCATGAGCAGGGGAGGGTCAGAGAGAGAGGGAGACACAGAATCTGAAGGAGGCTCCGGGCTCTGAGCTAGCTGTTAGCACAGAGCCCGACGTGGGGCTTGAACCCACAAACCGTAAGATCATGACCTGAGCCAAGTCGGACGCTTAACCCACTGAGCCACCCAGGTGCCCCTAAAACCCTTCATTATGTTTCTAAAAGGAACGGCACGGAGGAGATATAGCTCAAAGGGTAGAAGTGTCCGCAGTTAGAAGTAAATGGAGAAGTGGGCACGGGTGCTCAGAGATTAGCATGTGTTAAAAAGAGATCGGGAACACTGCTGGGTGCTGGGATAACTTCTTTTGGTTTTCTTGTAGCCTGGAGGGGCGGTTTGAAGATGAGGAGCTGCAGCAGATCCTCGATGATATCCAGACCAAGCGCAGCTTTCAGTACTGAGCTCCAATACCATTCTGCTGAGGGAACTGCATCCACAGCCCAGCACTGCTGTCCCAGGGGCTGGAGCTGCCTTAAACAGAAATTCTCTTGCAGAAGACACTTGGGCCTCCTTCGGACAGAACAGCCCAGCTTGGTCTTGGTTTAGGTTGCTGTGTCGGACTTGACTATTGGACCATGATAACCTGACCTTGCCTCTTGGGAGGATGAGATGGGGTGATGTGCACATAAGCTACACTGTTGACTACCTCATACCACGGTTTTGGCCCCTGTGTTATTTCTAAAACTTTTTTTTTAAGTTTTTTTTTTTTTTTTTTTTTTTTTTTTTTGAGTAATCTCTACTCCCAGCATGGGGCTTTAACTCAGGAGCACAAGATCAATTGTCACATGCTCTACTGGCTAAGCCAGCCAGGTGCCCCCTTTTGAGATTTTATCTTTTTAACCTTTGTGTTATTTTTGATTCCTAAGATTTCATTTTTAATAATTTCAATGTGTTTATAGTTCTTAAAACTATAATTGAATGTATAAAACTGATATAGGAAACAGTAGTCTTATCTCAGTGCAAAAGGAAGAATTAAGGGGCACCTGGCTGGCTCAGGCTGTATAGCATACAACTCTTGATCCCAGGCCCATGAGTTCAAGCCCCATGTTGGGCATGGAGCCTACTTAAACAAAAAACAAAACAGCCCAAACAGGGGTCCCCAAATATAAATACAAAAGGAAGAATTAAACCAGATCTGTATCCTCATTTAAAGTTCTCAAAGAAAGGAGGAGAGTCATGACTGTGAGACAGCATTGGCATCATTGTGCTTAACCCGGAAGTCCAGGAAGAAGCTCGCTGGGAAGTGGTTACACCTGAGGAGAACTGCCAAACGTGGGGCCCGTAGCCTTGCAGATGGGTACTTGGCCTTTTTTCTTGGACTGTTGGAGAATGTTGGTTTGGAGGCAGTGGTCCTTGAGCACTGTTTTTTCACTCCCAGATTAAGATCTTTTTCCTTCATAGTCCAGACTGGGAGGTCTGACACTTTGAAGAGTCCTTGTCTGGGGCACCGAGTCCAAACCTCTGGCTTGCTGCCCAGCCGCAGGTGCTCTTTGCTGCGGTGACCTGCAAGGAGGGCACCCGCCTCTTCACGGGCCACCACAGGGCAGGCTCTTGCTGTAAAGCTAGTCGAGAAACCCTTTAGTAGCTGCACATGGGAACATGGTGCAGCGGCCGTATCGTGGCCAGTGAGGTTTATCCACGGCGTCCGCGCTGCTCACCGAAAGGGAAAAATAGTTAATTTTTTAGCTGAAAGGAAATATGCCTGTTTACTTCACAATTTGGAGATTTTTCTTTGGAGCACTTGTTGGCTCCAGATGAATGTATGATCCAAAAAAAAAAAGTTGGAGACAACAGAGTTACCTTTTTTTTTTTCTTTTTTAAATAGGCTCCACATCCATTGTCGGACTTGAACTCCTGACTCAGAGATCAAGAGTCGCATGCTCTACCAACTGAGCTTGCCAGAGGCCCCAAAAAAGTTAGCTTTTAAAAGTTAAGATAGTTTGGGTGCCTGGCTGACTCCGTCAGTAGAGCATATGATTCTTGATCTTGTGGTCGTGAGTTTAATCCTCATGTGGTGTAGAGTTTACTTAAAAATAAAATTAAAATTAAAAAAAATAGTTTGATATGCGCTGGCTAAGGCAAAAATAAACTTTGTATTTGAAGGAAATCATCTTTTCATCCTTGGCATTTTCACTTCTTTGAGACTCATCAGTGTGCTGAGTTATAAAATGTGGATAATAATCGTACCTGTTTCATAGACAATTTTGAGAAGTTTACTAAAAAGAGCCTAATTAGCGTCTGACATATATATAAATAAATGCCCCAATAAGTGTTAGCTCGTATTAGGATCTCGGTCAAATGAACATGTATACATAGGTGCTTAGCTCGCTCACTTGATAGAATTTAGTGCAAGACTTGGGTAGCATACTGCTGGTACTGGTATGAGGCTGTGAAAACCAGATTACTTCGATCTGTAGAATTGTTTTTATTTTTTTTATTTTTTATTTTTATTTTTTTTTTAAATATTTTTATTTATTTCTGGGAGAGAGAGAGAGAGCGTGAGCAGGGGAGGGTCAGAGAGAGAGGGAGACACAGACTCTGAAACACGCTCCAGGCTCTGAGCCGGCAGTCAGCACAGGGCCCGACGCGGGCCTCGAACCCACGAACCGCGAGATCATGACCTAAGCGAAAGTCGGACGCTCAACCGACTAAGCCACCCAGGCGCCCCTGTAGAATTGTTTTTAAAGAGAGGCAGTAACATGTGCAGGTTGGCACCAAGTAGTGGCACAGACAGAAGGGCCCTGGAGAGCAGACCTCAGGGACCATCCAGGCCTGTGTGCAGTGCAGTGGTGCCCATGTGCCAGTAATCGGTGAGCTGCCTGAGAGTACTGATGCATGTCATGGGCCCGGCATAGAGTTGGGTACTGATAAATGGTACGAAGATGATTAGAGGTACTAGGAAAAAACAACATATTAGGGAACTATTTGTGAAAGCAATGTCATGCTACGTTATAGATTCAAAGTCTGGTTAACATTCTGGTGGACATTGTTTTCTACAGTCCCAGACCACGTCTTACAGAATCCTTAGGAGATCCGGCAAAATCTAATCATCTGAAACATTGTGAGGCTCACTGCACTATGTTTGCAAAAGCAGAAACAAAACCTACTCAGCATTAAAGCTGAAAGATGTCAAATTGTCACACCGTCAGAAAGCTCAGTTAACTGGAAGAAGCTTGTCTGAAAACTGTAGTCATTCTGGGTTTATTAAAGGTTATTAGACTTAAAGTTTGAAAACTGTTACTGAATGGAGCCTGAGCAACACAAGCCATTCTTACCCAGCATTAATGTTTTAACTTTATTTGCAAAAGCACTAATGCCTACATAAAGACTTGCATGTGAGTAATCACTGCAGTGTTACTCATAATAACCCCAAACGAAACGATCTGAATGCCCACCAACTGATGGATAAAGAAAATGTATATCCAAATGGCTAAATACTATTTGGCAATATAAAGAAACAAACTTTACAAAAAGCAAAAAATTTTGAAGCCCACAGGATATGCCAGTGGTGTGACTTTTTTTTCAACTTTTTATTATGAAAAGTTTAAACAGAAGCTTAAAGACCAGTACATTGATCACCTATCATCACCTACATTTAACATAACATTTGTAATATTTGTGTCCTCTCTATTTTTGTTAGGAAGCAGTTGAAAACAGCTTGACACTTCATTGAAATGAAAAGCATGCATTTTTAAAAAACTGTTGGGACCCTTGTGTGGCTCAGTCAGTTGAGTGTCAACTTTGGCTCAGGTCATGATCTTGTTCACAACTTTGAGCCCTGCATCGGGCTCTGGGCTAACAGCTCAGAGCCTGGAGCCCGCTTTGCGGGTTCTGTGTCTCCCTCTCTCTCTGCCCTTCGCCACTCGTTTTCGCTCTCTCTCAAAAATAAAGATTAAAAAAAGACATTTAGGGGTGCCTGGGTGGCTCAGTCAGTTAAGTGTCCAACTTCGGCTCAGGTCATGATCTTACGGTTTGTGGGTTCGAGCCCCACGTCAGGTTCTGTGCTGGCAGCTCAGAGCCTGGAGCCTGTTTCGGATTCTATGTCTCTCTCTGCCCCTCCCCTGCTCATGCTGTGTCTCTCTCTGTCTCAAAAATAAATAAACTTAAAAAAAATTTTTTAATGACAATAAATTAAAAAAACATTTCTTAAAAAAAGCACTTTGTTCTGGACGTGCCTGGGTGGCCCAGGGCTAAGCGTCATACTTCAGGTCATGGTCTCACTGTTTGTGGGTTCAAGCCACACATCAGGCTTCATGCTGACAGTGCAGGGCCTGCTTGGGATTCTTTCTTCCTCTCTGTCTCTGCACCCCACCCCCACTCAAAATATACAAACTAAAAAAACAATTTTTAAAGTTTATTTTTTTAAAGTTTAGATAAACTTTTAAAAAATACTTTGTAAGTAGCATTTTTGCACTGGGAACATTCCTGGTATTAATACTTAGTTCATAATTTCAATTGTTTCTGGAAAGAGTTGTGAGCCTCGGTCAGACCCAGTGTTGGTGTAATTTAATACTCTATGAAAGCAGTTATCCTTAAGGATATAAACTGACACTTGTGAACAATTTACATGTGATTACTGCCATTAAGCCGCTGTAAGGCGCCCTGACAACACCTGTACACAGCCCTGGATGAAGACTGACACCGGGTAGGTCTTGGCTCCCAAGCAGCGCTTGCTAGTAATGCTTCTGCAAGTCTTCATTGTCAGCAGGAGGGCACTTTGGGACCAGCGGCAGAATCAGGTGAATGGTAACAGTGAAGGCAGGTCTGTAAGCCCCCAAACGTGGAGTGACACTCATAATTGAGTTATGAGTGACTCCTTTCCCCGTTGCATGGCACCGAGTAGGTAGTAAGCATTGAATAAATACACAGCCCGCATTTTGAGAATGGTCAGCATGAAGCTGCAGAGAGAGGCGAGAATGTACCCGAAGTAATAAAATCAGAGCTGCGGGTTCCATGAGCTGAGGTGGAAGTGCTGGACAAATAGTCTAGAAGATATCTGGGAATTTTGAATGACAAGTCGAAGCTGTCCAACAAAACTTTCTGCAAGACTGGAATATTCTACGCACTGTCCGCCACGGTAGCTACTAGCCACATGTAGCAATTGAGCACTTGAGGCTAGTGTGACTGAGGAACCAAATTTTAAGTTTTACTTAGTTTTAATTTAAAAAAAAAAAAAACAGTGGCTAGTGGTTACTGTATTGAACAGCAGAGCTCTCAGCTCCCAATACCAGTGGCCTGCCGGCCATTGAAATAAGGATTTCAGCAAGATTAACTTGACAAAAGCAGCAGTGATAATAGGGCCATTGATCAAAATTTGGTCCCCCAATTTCTGGAGTTTAAAGATGGATATTATTTTCTTCTATACACCACTGAGTTTTCTGTATAATACAAGTTCTGTTTTTAAAAATCTACCTCAGAGCACCTGGGTGGCTCAGTCGGTTAAGCGTCCGATATCAGCTCAGGTCATGATCTCACGGTTCGTGGGTTCGAGCCTCACGTCGGGCTCTGTGCTGACAGCTAGCTCAGAGCCGGGAGCCTGTTTCAGATTCTGTGTGTCTCCGTTGCTCTCTGACCCTCCCCTGTTCACACTGTCTCTCTCTCTCTCTCTCTCTCTCAGAAATAAATAAAACACTAAAAAATTAAAAAAAAATCTACCTCTGCTAGTAGGGCACCTGGGTGGCTCAGTTGATTGAATGTCTGACTTTGGCTCAGGTTATGATCTTGCAGTTCATGAGTTCAAGCCCTGCATGGGC